AGAGAATCTCAGCTTGATGAACAGATAGGGGAGCTAGAAAAAGAGGTTTCTAGTCTTGGCTACCAAGTCATTGTTCTCGAGGCCGAGAAATCACAATTATTGGCTCAGCCATCCTCCTCTCATGCTTCTACTTTTCTTGATGTCCCACGGAATTTATATGAGAATTGGATCCATGTCAAGGCTCAACAAGATATATTTAAAAGTTTGATGGCGACCAGGAAAGTTCTTGAAATCGATTTTGAAGATACTCATACTAAGGCGCGTGCAGCTCGAATCCTGCTGCTATGACCCTGCTTCCCCCATGGCTGGTGACGGCGAGGATGCGGACGATATTGAGCAGGAGGCTTGGTACGAGGAAGAGGCGCGTGCAGCTTGATGTTGTTAGATCAAGTGGCGAGTAATTATTCTTTTTGTTGTGGATTTTGTGTACAATTTTGCGGGCGTCTGTATTAGCCCTTGTAATGAATATTGATAGTATTGAATGTTATTTTCTTCTGTTTGAGCTTGTATGTTCTTTTCCTTGATCCTGCCATTTGGCTGCTTTTAGTTGTAGAAGCTCGGCTCGTATATTGAACGAGGTCAGATGTCGAACTTGGTAATCGCAACCTGGGGCTAATAAGTGTTAAGTCAAACGAAATCAAACATAGTCGAAGCTTAGTTTGAAATGTAACTTAGTTAATATAAGCAAGGTCGAACGTGACCTAAACCCAACAATGGCCGAGGTTCGTATGAGCTTAATTCAGACAAAGTAAAATATAACCTGCAGTTGACCTGAACGAAGTCGAATGTGAATTCGAGCGAGGTCGATATTATTTGATTCAATCGAGGTTGAATGTTAGTCAATTTGATCGAGGTCAAATATTTTTTCAATTCGAACGAGGTTGAATGTTTCTTAATTCGAACGAGGTCGATTGTCTTTTAATTCAAACGAGGTCGAATATTTTTTAATACGAGTGAGGTCGAATGTCTTTTAAATCGAACGAGGTTGAATATCTTTTAATTCGAACGAGGTCGAATGTCTTTTAATTCGAACGAGGTCGAATGTTTTTTAATTCGAACGAGGTCGAATATATTTTAATTCAAACGAGGTCAAATGTATTTTAATTCGAACGAGGTCGAATATATTTTAATTCAAACGAGGTCAAATGTATTTTAATTCGAACAAGGTGGAATGTATTTTAATTCGAACGAGGTAGAATGTATTTTAATTCAAACGAGGTCGAATGTCTTTTAATTCGATCGAGGTCGAATGTATTTTAATTCGAACGAGGTCGAGTGTATTTTAATTCGAATGAGGTCGAATGTATTTTAATTCGAACGAGGTCGAGTGTATTTTAATTCGAATGAGGTCGAATGTATTTTAATTCGAACGAGGTCAACTGTAATTTAATTCGATCGAGGTCGAATGTAATTTAATTCGAAAGAGGTCTAATGTATTTTAATTCGAATGAGGTTGAATGTATTTTAATTCAAACGAGGTCGAATATATTTTAATCCGATCGAGGTCGAGTCTCTTTTAATTCGAACGAGGTCGAATGTATTTTAATTCGAACGGGGTCGAATGTTTTTTAATTCGAACGAGGTCGAATGCTTTTTAATTCTAACGAGGTCAAATATAATTTAATTCTAACAAGGTCAAATGTAATTTAATTCGATCGAGGTCTAATGTCTTTTAATTTGAACGAGGTCGAATATATTTTAATTCGAACGAGGTTGAATGTATTTTAATTCGAACGAGGTTGAATGTATTTTAATTCGAACGGGGTCAAATGTTTTTTAATTCGAACGAGGTCGAATGTAATTTAATTCGATCGAGGTCGAATGTAATTTATTCAATTGCGGACGTAGGCCGGGTAAATGTTGAGGTATTGTTCTGGCAAACGTACATTTGTGTTTGCTCATACTTAGAGAAATTTACATATTTTTCGGGCTCAACGTACATTTGCCAGTCGAATGTAGCATTCTGCCTGTTGTTTTTGGGAGATCATCCTTATGTAGGCCATGTCTCTCCGTTCTTCGGCTTCATCGAGATCTTGCCCTCGGCCCGCTCTCATGGGAGTATCTTAAACGGGGCTCTCCGACTGGTCTTACTGCGTCAGTCCTACAGACTAACGAGTAGGGAGTTTCTCCTGTGCTCATCTTTGGTGTTTTGCGGTAGGCCCATACCACCTCTGGCAGTAGTTCTGGCCAAAGTCCCTTGGCGTCCTCGAGCTTTTTCTTCATGATGCTCAGTATTGATTTATTTGAGGACTTTGCTTGCCCGTTGCTCGCGGGGTGGTATGGGGTGGATAGTATTCTTTTGATATGACACTTTTCGAAAAATTCGGTGACCTTTTTTCCAGTAAATTGGGGTCTGTTGTCGCAGCTAATCTCTTTGGGGAGGCCGAAGCGGCACACAATATTCGTCCATATGAAGGTGATCATTAATTGCTCGCGTATCTAAGTGAATGCTTCTGCTTCTACCCATTTAGAAAAATAATCAGTTAAAACTAAAAGGAAAAGTATGTTACCTTGTCCTGCGGGGAGGGGACCGACGATGTCCATTCCCCACTTGATGAAAGGCCAAGGGGAAGTGACCGAGTGGAGTTTCTCGCCTGCTTGGTGGATCATAGGGGCGTATTTTTAGCATTGCTCGCATCTTTTCACGAAGTCTGCGTCCTCATTTTTCATAGTAGGCCAGTAGTAACCGGCTCGTATGAGACACCTTACCAGAGCTCGCTTGCCGAAATGAGCCCCGTAGTGGCCTTCGTGGACTTCTTCTAGGATATGCCGCGTTTGATTGGGGCCTAAGCGTTTCGCTAGGGGGATGCCGTACGTACTCTTGTACAGATCGTTATGAATGATGTTATACATGGTTGCTTGCATCCGAAGTTTCTTGGCTTCTTTTTTGTCATTTGGGAGTATGTCATCCTACAAGTATGTAATAATATGGTTGTGCCAGTCCCAAGTTAGATTTATAGTCCTTACCTCAATTTGATCTATCGATGAGTGGAGGAGGGTGATCACGTTTCCTTCTCCGATTATGCTTTTAGTGGCTGCCGCTAATTTGGCAAGGCCATCGACTTCGGTGTTTTGCGACCCGAAGGATTTGGTCGAGCTGGCATTCATCAAACTCGAGCAGTAATTTGCATATTTTGGCTTCGTATTTTTGCAACCTTTGTTCTTTGATCTGGAAAGTTCCAGTGACTTGGTTGACGACGAGCTGAGAATCGCAGCGTAGGATGACTCGCCTCGATCCGTACTTGAGTTCTAGCCGTAATCTTGCGATCACGCCTCATACTCAGCCTCATTGTTAGTCATGTATGGGCACCTTATGGATTGGCAAATCACTTCGCATGTCGGGACCTCGAGCACGAGTCCCAGTCCGGACCCCGATGTATTAGAAGCATCGTCGGTGTACAAAATCCATAGATCTTGTGCTTGCAGAGAAGCGTGGGCGACTTCTTTTTCGACATCAGGCATTATTTTTGAGATGAAGTCGGCGAGGACTTATGATTTTATCGTCGTCCGTGGTTGATATGTGATATCATGCTTGCTTAATTCTATGGCCCACTTAGCTAATCTTCCCGATAGCTCGGGCTTATGCAAGATACTTCTTAAGGGGAAAGTTGTGACTACCGAGATGGGATGGCACTGAAAGTAGGGTCTAAGCTTTCGTGAAGCTACGACCAAGGCCAAGGCCTATTTTTCGAGGTGGGGGTACCTCGTCTCGGCGTCGATTAGGGTTTTGCTAATGTAATAGATGGGAGATTGTGTACCTTTATTTTCTCGGACCAGGACTGCACTCACCGCTACTTCGGATACGGCGAGGTAGACTAGTAGGCGTTCCCCATGTTCTGCTTTGGAAAGCAACAACGGTGATGATAGATAAGTTTTTAACTCCTTCAGGTCTTGAACGCACTCAGATGTTTATAGGAGGTTGTTGTCCTTCTTGAGCAGGCCGAAAAATTTATGACATCTGTCAGACGATCATGAGATGAATCTCGATAAGGCGGCGATGCGGCTGGTCAGCTTCTGAACCTGTTATTTGCTGGTTAAGTGTTTTGGTATTCCTTCTATGGCTTTGATTTGGTCGGGATTGACCTCAATGCCTCTTTGTGATACCAGGAAGCCCAAGAATTTTCCTGAGGTTACGTCGAATGCACACTTCTCTGGATTTAGTTTCATGTCATATCGCCTGAGTATGTCGAAGGTCTCTTTTAGGTGGTCGGTGTGAACTTCTTTCCTTTTGGACTTGACCAACATATCGTCTATGTAGACCTCCATGGTCTTGCTGAGTTGGTCCTTGAAAATTCTTGTTACCAACCTTTGGTATGTCGCCCCCGCGTTTTTCAGTCCAAAAGGCATCACTCTGTAACAATACATTCCTTGGTGGGTGATGAAGGTGGTCTTCTCCTAGTCCTCCTCTTCTATGTGGATCTGGTTATGGCCCGGGTATGCATCTAAGAAGCTTAGCAATCCGTGCCCGGCTGTTGCATCAATGAGCTGGTCGATATGGGGTAGCGGGAATGAGTCTTTTGGGCATGCTTTGTTCAAATCTCTAAAGTATACGCACATCCGCCATTTCCCGTTCTTCTTTTTTACCAAGACCACGTTGGTGACCCATTGGGGGTATTTTGATTCTCTGATGGAGCCGTTTTTCAACAATTTTTCAACCTTCTCACGAATTGCATCGTTTATTATGGAATTGAACTTTCACCTAACTTGCCTTACCGTGGGTAGAATGGGTATACGTTCAACTTGTGTGTCGCGACCTCCTTTGGGATACCTGGCATGTCTGTGTGGGAAAAAGCAAACAAGTATGCGTTATTAATTAAGAAATGACGGAATTTACCTGGTTCTTGCAGCTTGCAACCAATATAAGCTTTCTTGTTGTGGTCGTTATCATCAAATTAGATGGGGTCGAGGCCTTCTACGGTTGACCCCGTGGCCTCTATTGTTTCGGGGTCTTTGATGACGTCCGCTCTTTCATCATTACTCGACCTCGACCCTGTTAATTGCTATGCCTCTTTTACTTTTCCCTTTATTTGTTGGGTGTATGTGCAGTCCTGGGCGATGCAATGGTATTCTCGGTACGTGCGTTGTTCGCCTCGTATGCTGAACACTCCCCACAAGGTGGGAAATTTGATAATCTGGTACAAGCTGGAGGGGATGGCCTTCATGGAGTATATCCAAGGCCGACCTATTATGGAGTTATACGCCATGTCCTGATCCATGATGTGGAATATGGTTTCCAGGGTGACGCCTCCGGCAAGGAAGGGGAGTGTGATTTCTCCAGATGTTCGTTTAAGTGCATTGTTAAAACCAGTTAACATGATGTAGCGTGACACTATCTTATCCTCGAGTTTCATCTGTACAAGCACTTGAGGGTGGATAATGCACGCGCCAATCCCATCGTCTACTGTAATATATCTCACATATGTATCTAATATTCGTAAAGTGATAACGAGAGCATCATAGTGAGGGAAAACCAAATTGTGAGTATCTAACATATCGAAGATGATACTTTCTTCGAGTTCGTCGTACCATTCATGAGTGATCGAATGTTTGAGTCTGTGGGTTGTGGTGAACTTTACGTTGTTAATCGATGCTCCATCGCCACCTCCAATGATCATTTGAATGGTGCGAGTTGGTGAAGGTGGTTTTGGCGGCCCCTGGTGCTGTTCACGTCCTCGGGCGAAGTTGGCCCTTCCTCGGTTGCTCATCAACTCTTTCAAGTGTCCTTGGTGAAGCATATTTATGACCTCCTTCCTTAGGGCGATGCAATCCTCGATTTTATGACCTCGTTCCTGGTGGAATTCGCAGAGGGCGTTTGACTTCCTGGTGTTTGGGTCGGACCTTATCTTTTGTGGCCACTTCACTTTTGGGCCGAGCTTCTCCATTGCGTAGACTATTTCTGAAGGTGAGACACAAAAATTGTGAGTAGATAGTAAAGGGGGCATACCTCTCTCGCTCCGGTGAGTCCATGTCCTTGGCCTAGATGGGCCCTCTTCGTGACGGGAGGGAGGCATGATGGCGCCCCTAATATATGGCTGAGGCCTTTCTCGGTTGGGTCGTGGAATCGCTAGATCCCTTCGAGTATCATTTGTTCGGTCTTTTTCTGGACTCGGCTTGTACTGAGGTCAACCGTTGGGTTGGTTCATTTAGGTTGTCTTCGTCAGCATGGACTTTGGCGCAATAGGCATTGTGTATTTTATCCCAAGTGGTTGGGGGATATTCATAAGCCGACTCAGCAACTTTTTGGTCGCCCTCGAACCGTTTCTGCTCAGCCCATTTTGAAAAGCTGCTACAGCCATGCCTTCTGATACATTTGGTAAGGTCATCCTTACATAGTTGAATCTAGCGAGGAAGTCCCTCAGTCCTTCTCCAGGTGATTGCTTGATGGCAAATATATCATTCGCTCTTGTTTCCGCCTTTTTAGCTCCGGCATGGACCGTTACAAACTTGTCAGCCATCTCTTCGAATGTTTCAATGGAGAGCGTAGGCAGCTGTGAATACCAAGTTAATGTGCCCCCGGTGAGGGTTTCGCCAAACGTTTTCAATAGGATGGAGGATACTTGTTCTTTGGCGAGATCGTTGCCTTTTACTGCGATGACATAGTGAGTCACATGATCCTTAGGGTCGGTCGTACCGTCGTATATTTTTAAGTACGGCAGCATTTTGAAGGTTTTGGGTATGGCATGCAGGGCGGCTTCATTACTATAAGGTTGTTCAACGAACCGACCAGCATCTCTTTTTGGTAAGAGTTTTGGGGCCCCCGGTATTTTGTCTACCCTTTCTTGATGCTCTTTCATTTGGTCTCTAAGCATTTTATTTTCGTTTTGCATTTCTTTCATCTTCTTCAAAATGGTTGTGAGGGTGTCGGCACCTGCATTACTAACATTATGAGTGGTACTTGTTATTGGAGGGAGAGGGCCGTGTTGCTAGGTCGTTACTGGTGCAACGCCAGTTCTTGCATTTTCTCTGATCGCCTTTTGGGCGGGCTTGTCGAGGATGCTGGTCAACGTGTTTGTCAGCCAAGCCTCAAGTAATTTCTTCACTACCGGTGGCGCCTCTTCTGCTGTAGATTTGGAAGCCCCTTTACCGTGGGACATTGTGATACTACGTACCATGAGGTAGGGGTGAACAACTTCGCCTGGGAGAGGCATTTGGCGTTACATCTTCACCCTCCGTTTCAGAAACCTCGTTGATGATGTTTAAGAGGTTGGTAATGAGGTCAGCCACTGCCTTCATCCTTTCTCCTTCGTTACCGGCCATGACAGATTTGTGTGTACAAGGGAGTAGGGGTTTTGCATTTTTTTTTCCAGTAATAGATCTAGAAGAAACTAAAATTCTTACTAGGAAATCCCCACAGACAGAGCCAAATTATTTGACCAAAAAAAATATAAATTTTTGGTTAGACTAATTAATTTTATGTAATGAGGGGTTAAACCTAGTTAATGATAATAACTTCAGATCTATAATCGATTTATGTGAATAACGTTGAGCAGCGTTGAAAGAAAGTTAAATGCAGTGTGCATATAATGTTAAGATCAACGATGAAAAGGGAATATCAAGCAATAAATAACAATAAATGGCACTAAGGTAAATAAGGAGAATGATTCATCCAATATTGAATGAGGTGGGTGATTTCTCCTTCTAACAATGACGAATGACAGACAAATACAAGAATATCGGGACCTTTCTCGGATCTGATGGAAAAAGTATAGAGTAATCAACAATCAAATCTCTTTAGAATGGTAGTGTTTGTAGAAAGTTTGCCTTATCAAGAATGTTCTTATCAGAAAATATTGTCCCATTTTCCCCTTATCTTTCTTTCTATTTATAAGGGACATGCCCCCAATTAACCCTAAAAGTATAAATATAGAGAATATTCAACGGAATATTCTCTTAAATATCCGCTCACTAAACTAGTCGTTACTGCCCCTTTCGATACTTGACCTCAGCCATGATTGACTGCTCGGCTGTGAGTTCCACTGGTTATTAATCGACCTAGGTCAAATCACTTTCTGCAATGCCACTTCGTGTCGAACATCCTTAAGCAGATTTTGACCTATACATAACTATCTAAAGCGTAAACTTCAACATGAACAAATCTCCGTTCCATTTCATTTCTATTTCACACAATCTATGAGTCAATGTGAAAAAGAAAGAAACTTCGCCCAGAAGGAGGTAAACAGGGAATTAAGAAGAGCGACTTGCATGAGATTTAAATGTATTCACTGCTTTTCATGTCTTTTTCAACGAATATTGGGAAGGACAATTACCATGCTTTTTTCCTCCCTCTTTTTCCCTTTATGTTTTCCATTTCTACTAGAAAACAATACAAAGTGTAAATGTCAATTTGTTACTTGAAATAAAGTCTTAAAATCTTCATAGGCATACGCACCCAATCCTATTTAATTACAAGTCATTTTGTGCCTATAAAGTATAAACTAACACATGTATAATTTCAAGGGCGGAGCTAGCGGCTATGGATTCGGTCGAACATAATAACTTTATTTCAAATTATGTATTTGGTATAAAATATTTATTAAATATATAATATTATTAATTTAGAACTTATTAATTTAAAGTCATTTTTTCGCTATCTATTATGCGTGTAATACAGGTTTAAAGTACAACTTAATTGTTAATGATCAGTAATCTATTGTCAAACAAGCTATGTGGAGTATAAAATAATGAACGGCATTGTGGAAAAAATGGAAGGAAAGAAGCAAGAAATTGGAAAAGCTCATGTCGGCATCCGTTATCAGCGAAATATACTTGCCTTACTAGTGTCATATGTGAAATCAAACTTGGGAAGCAAGAGTTAGAAGACGGGGAATGGTGGGGGCGAGGAAATTATAAATACTAATATGTATAGGGTGTTTATATTAAATTAATTCAACTTATTATACTTAAATAATTTAATAAAATTAAATATTAATAAATTAAAACTAAGTAAAAATAAAATATATGTTCAAATAAGTATTATGCATCCATTTTGGTTAATATATAAATATATGGTACGAATAACTTTTTACAAAAGGTAGAAAAGATTTGGTACGGAGCATTTTGATCTTTAAACGTTCATTGGTTTATATAGTCTTGGTCATCGTAACTTTTCTTTGGTCCTCTTTTTCCAGGATGTAATGGCACTTAGGAATCATCACATCTGTCGTTTCCTCTAGTCTTTGCATATGAGTCCATTCCTCTTTATACATTTAGACTATCTTTTTGGAAAGTATTTCGATGATTAATTTTCATACTATCCTTAAAAACAATTTTTATCTGGCATTTGTTTCACAAAAAAATAAAAAATAAAGCGTTCCTTTTGGTTGCAAAAACTAGAAACCTGACTTCTCTGTAATTACGTTGGATTGGAAGAAGCTTTTCCAAAAAAGTATTTCAATGTTTGCTTTAAAACATTTTTTATTTAAGTGGCATTTGGCTTCCTTTCCCCTATCCTTTTCTTTCGATATTAATACAACCATGAAACAAGTCATTCAATTTCTCATATTATTAATGCCCTTTGACCAAAGCTTCTATTGATTTCTTTGCCCAAGGACGTAATCGAAGCAACGATTAAAGTTCACCAATTCTCAGTGTAACTTTTTGGCTAAACGCAAGCTAATTTTAATTGTAGATTTTTTCTGCAAATGTCTTTGCCGTTTGATACTTTAATACTTGCTTTTCTCTCTCAAATAATATATAGTAGGTAACTGGGATGTTTTCATAACACTGAGAAAACATCAAATATGATAGGTTTATTCTTAATCTTTAATTTGTTACAATTATTCAACTTTAAGTAGTCCATGCATATGAAACAGATTTTGGGAAACAATCTTTTGAGAGCTTACTATTGAAAATAAAAAAATAAAAATAAAAAGACAAAGAAAAAGGAGGAGAGGCTTATAGTAGATAAAACGAAAATACATATACTAAATAATGGAGAAGACTTAACAGAGAGTCTTTCTAGTAATTTTCATAACATTGTGTGTTTGTGGGGTCATCGTTATTCCCTTTTCCGAATTTATTATTATTAATAAAAAGTTATTGATGACTTTTAGAGCTTTTGACAATGGGATCTTTCTTTCCATGTCTTTGCTATTCTGTAATTGTACAATGATATATTATATAATTACACAATTAGTAGTGACATAACTACGTGGTAAAAACATGACATATCTTTACTATCATTAGATAACTTGCCCTAAACTACTATTTTTAACTTTGAGAATTAAACCACACATCTTGGATGGCATCCCAGCAAAAGTGTAACTTTCATACTTGTTGTGAGGTCATAATTTTTATTTATGTAATAAAAAATAAAATCTAAACTGCAGTGAAGAAGAACTAGCCAATGAAACGAAGAAAGATAAAAGGGAAAGAAATCATACTTTTTAAAAATTGAAGTCGTCTTATATATTCTCGTGCATTGTCCATCTTTGAGTACTTCTTAAATATCACTAGGAACATCAAATTTCTAACCAATAAAATGATATTTTTTTAAGTATAAGACAAAATTACTATAATCCTACACAAAGGGTCCAAGAATTTATTTCCTCATATAATTAGTAATGTGATGTGTCTAGTCAGTTGGCAATAGTTAGAGGCTATTAATACGAATTAATAATATTGTAGGTCAAAATCTCTTAACCACATCAAAGTATTACACGAAAAACCTTTCAATCGTGGAGGTGCTTACCGAAGTAGTTTAGTCAGCTCACACATTATAGATGATATTACCAACTCATGGGCCAGCACTACTACAATATAAGGGCTTTATTTATCCGTCTTCTTGGATCTCAACACTTGTATTATCGTCTGCAAGCTGTCCTTGGACTACTCTGCTGGACAATCACATTTAAGGTAACATGTGAGGCCTCTCAAGCCCAAT